TATATATATATATATATATATATATATATATATATATTACACGCAGTGTGATGACGCTGATGTTTATTATTTATACCATTAATGATGTTTGTAAGAATACATGACATATGTGTCATGTATTCATGTTTCTTTTTGTTTTTCTTCTTTTGCTTTTGATTTCTTGGGAAATAGTAGAAGTTTCGGGAAGCGTGCTTAGGCCTACCTAGCGTGGTCGCCAGATGAGACAAGGGGAGGCTGCCAACATATCCGGTTCCGTCTCTCTCTCTCTCTCTGTCTGTCTGTGGCACTTTCTGGTGTCGACTTGTGTCAGAGGCGTACTGCTGTTGTACGCCTGTTGGCTCCTGTTTTCCCTTTCGCCCTTGAATAACCCGTGCCATCACTCCCCCTGGCCAGCCAGCGGGTTATGCACAGACAGGTCATCTCCGATATTCTCTCATATTTCATTTAATATCGTGTTTTTTTTTCAGCATCATTTTTTCTTCGTTTTTTTTTTTTTTTGCGGCACTTTCCCGTGGGTGCCGTGTCGTTTCTTCTCCAGCAATTTGGACGTTGCGCCATTTGTTGCATTGGCTCTTCATCCACCTGCCCATCCCACACCGGGGCGGGGTTGTCCCTCACGTTTAGTTTGCCGCACGTTGACTGCCGTGGGCAATGAGGTATCCTGACGCCGTCACAGAGACGCCTCCCAAGTCCAGGGCAGGCATAAACAAGGGCGGGGACGCAGCACCCAGAAACGTCTCAGAGAAGCCCGCCTCGCCCTTACAAAAGGTACAGGACCAATGCGAAGATAAGCGTAGTCTGCAGAAGGTCGCTCATAATTCCACGGGCACGGCGGCACCTGATCTCGGTAGCTCTGGTGCTCGTTCTCAGGGAGACGCTTCACTCGTGACAGCCTTCCGGAAATCTGTAGGGTCCATCCATGGCGCTGGTGGGAACGCGGGGGGCAGTGGAAATGTGGAGAAGGCCGTACACCGAGATCCTGGCGAAAATGGCGTTGTTGGCGACGCTGGGTTTACTCCCTCTCGCCCCAGCGGAGTGCCCGAAGGGGTACAGGGAACTGCGTCAAAAGTCCCAAGAAAGCTTTTATTCGCGTTGAAGGCATTGGAAGCGTCGTCGGGCCCAGTAGAAGTTATGGAGAAGGCAACTAAGGAGAAGAGGAACCATGCGACGCCGGCAGACACAACAGCAGCAACACCAAGTAGGCCAACGATGACAGAGGCCGCAGAGGCCACGGGTGACGAAGGCGGAGGCCACGGTGGTGCCGTTTTCAAACCGGAGGGTAATGCTGCAGTTGCAGAAGAAGCCAAAGGCAACGGAGGACACACAAAGGAAGGTAGTTCTACAGTGCCAACTCAAAAACAGCAACAGCAAGCAAAGCGACACACAGTCGTCACGGCAGCCGATCACATGGGCGGAGGCTTACATGGGCGTTGCGTGCCTGTTGCACATACTACTGGTTCCATGGCGGCGGCTACGTCAGTGAACTGCACACGCCCCGCACTTGCCCTTAGTGCTTACTTAGTTGTGCTCTATAAGAGAGTGAACGAGGTATATTGTTGTCAGAGACGTTTGAAGGCTCCTGGTCCAAAGTACAACAACGGGTTTGATGACAAGGAAGGCCACTACATTGTGCTGTCAGGGGAGGAAATACTTAATCGGTACACAGTCCAAGAGGTGCTTGGCAAAGGCAGCTTTGGCACGGTTGTCCGCTGCTACGACGAGAAGCGTCGTGAGAACGTTGCCCTCAAAATCACCCGTCATGGTCTTAGTTTTCGCACGCAGGCGAAGCTGGAACTAGACATTTTGTTGAAGCTAAATGCCAACCCACGCCTCAATCAGCTTGTTGTAAAACTGCTGAAGGTGTTTGACTGGCAGGGGCATCTTGTGTTAGTATTTGAGCTGCTCAGCTTTAATTTGTACCATCTTATTAAGTGTACCCGCTACAAGGGCGTTACGCTCGACTTGGTGCGTAAGTTTGCCTACCAGTTGGTGCAGGTTCTCTATCAACTTGAACAAACCAAACCCAGCTCGATCATCCATTGCGACATTAAACCGGAGAACATTCTTTTGAAAAACCAAAATCGCAGCGGCATACGTCTAATTGACTTTGGCTCAGCGTGCTACTCTAACAAGGTTGTTCACAAGTACATACAGAGCCGCTATTATCGTAGCCCTGAGGTCATACTGTATCTGGAATATGGGACCGCCATCGATAGGTGGTCTTTGGGCTGTGTGCTGGTGGAGCTCCACACTGGCGTGCCACTTTTTGATGGGAGAACTGAAGCCGCACAACTGGCCCGCTTTGAGGCCATGCTGGGGCCACTGCCTGCGGAAATGTTGGAGGCCTCGCCAAAGTTAGAAAGGTTCTACACATCAGCAGGGAACGGGTACAAACTCAAGGAGCAGCAGCTGCCAAGACGTTCTCTTGAGAATGTTTTGGGTGTCACTACCGGTGGTCCTCGTGGCTCGCGGAAAGGAACCCCGGGGCATAGCGAGGAATCCTACCGCCAATTTCATGATTTCATTGGTGGACTGCTGAAATATAGGTCTGCGGAGCGAATGAGCTGCCATGATGCACTGCGGCACCCGTTCATCGAACCGCTCTGGCTTTTGGACCAGCAGCAGGAGCAACGCTCTCGAAAAACGCTTCCGCCGCCATCATGACAGTTGTTGGCCTTTCGTTTAGGTGACATCAATTAATAACTGATGCCAGGCTGTGTGTGCTGGTAATATCCATTATGTGTGCTTTTAGTGGTCTTGTTTTGCTTTCTCCCTTCTTATACTCATGTTTACTCACGCTTTGAGCTGAGCACTGTTTTCCTGGGGAAGTGTTTCCCCCATCTCGGGCCCTAACAACGCATTTTGTAACCTCCGCTTCTCGTAATGGCACACCCATTGCTGTTATATACCCCTCCCCCCCCTCCTTCCACTTTGTCGCAGAGTCCCTCTGCCTCACCAGACATTGGAGGGCGTGATGGAATGAGAGCGTGCACCAACTAGGCAGCTGTCATGCATGGCAAGAGGTGGAACTAGCGTTTTGTGTTGTACTGTGTAGTATTGGGGGGACGGTCGATATGCGCATCTCGTCCGTGTGGTATCTATTGCAACTCTCTCCAACAGCAACAACAAGCTCCTCCACATATATACATATATGTGGAGGAGCTTTCTTGGCGTGTCTTTGTTGGGCTTGTCCACCACATTATAGTTTTTGCCTGGAAAAAGCCGGGTTGTTGTCCAGCTTCGGACCGTAGAGAAAGCGGAAAGGGGCAGAGAGAGAAGAGAGGGATAGAGAAGGCGGGGAGGCGCAGAGTACGAGTGCAAACAACAAATAAAGTGTCTAAAAGAAGGTGAAGGAGAGTGAGATTAAGTTGAGCGGAGGGGAAGTTTTGCACATCATGCAGAGCTTTCTCGTATTGTTTGGTCTTTTGTTAATGTTTTTGGGAGCTTGCGAAGGGAATTGTCGTGTCCCACGAACTTTTGCTGAGAGTAACACTAATTGAGATAACTACCGCTTCATTTCATTACTATGAGGGTCACGCTGCAAAGTAAGCTTTGAAGGGCCCAACGGAACCCTCTCCGTCTCATGCGGGAGACGGGCTAAGCATGTCTTTGTTACCCCCTGCTTCCCATTCACTTAGTGATTTTTATGATTATCGATCTTGTTGATTTGCTTAGGGATTGGCTAGTGTTTACTACAATCAACTCGTCACTGCAGTTATGAAAAATTTGGAGCGTAAACTGTATAATTTTATTTTCGTTCTTTTCACGTTCTATTTAGGTGAAAAGTGGCCCTTAGACTATTCTCCTGTGCTTTCAGCATGTGGATGCGTGCGTGTGTGAGTGTCCTACGTGTAGGAGAGGTGGTGGGGAGGGGGGGGGGAATCTATCACCGTGTGTAGCGAAGAAGAAAGCGAAGAGCGCGGCGGTGTTAATGCCGGACTGAAGGAGGTGTGGCAGGTGTATTAAGGGAGGAGTGCGTGTGTGAAGCTGCCCTGGCGACGCAAAACATTGCGAAGGAGGACGAAAAAAAAAAAAAGGTTGCGTATTGAAGGTGCATATATATATATGTGTGTGTGTCTGTGTCGACGGCTCTTGCTCGTTGTCTTTTCTCTTTCTCTCTCTCTCTTCTATTTGTTTATTATTCCTTTGTTTTTGTTTTGTTTATTACTTCTGCTTTGGTTGTTGCGCCTGCGCTGTGTCTTGAGAGGTGAATCGCCGCGGCTTGAGTAAACGAGGAACCACATCGCGGCGAGGAAGGGACTCAGTGCAGGAAAGAAAAGCGATACTAGGAGGCCTGCGCTGTGCGTAAATTCAAATAATTTACAGAGTGCATCCGTATTCTGTGTCCGTCTCTCGCCAATGCCAGCCAACAACAGGAAGAACAAGGGCAAGGATGTCGTCCATAGCAACAACAACAACAGCATTAACAAGACCCTAAAGTATAAGGAGGGAGCTGTAAAAAGCAAAATACAGGCTGAGAGCGATGAGTTTGAGAAGGTTCTGGCAGACCTCAGCAAGGCAACGGAGGCCGCAGGCAGGAAACGGGCCAAAATGGTAGAGCGTGATGAAAGGCTGCGAAAGGAGCGAGAGGAGCGACATAAGAATATTGCTGCGAAGAAAACAGACATGGAGATGGAGTTTGATATGATGTTGCGTCGCCAACAGCAAAAGCAGCAGTTCCAGGACCTACTCCAGCAGCTGCTGGCCACCCAACGCATGCTACTGGATGCACCCAATACAGATTTCCACGGCGAAACAGTGACGGAAAACCCTCATTTTGACGTGGCGGTAGGAGAAATGCAGGGCTGGCGTGTCCACATGGAGGATGAGCACTTGGTAGATGTGGCATTCCCCACTGGCTCATCCAATAGCAAGGAGGGGCTCTTCTGCGTCTTTGACGGCCACTCAGGGAAGGAATGTGCCCAAAAGTGTCGGGAGTTGATCCCCAAGGTGGCGATGAAATATGTAACGCCTGCAACGGGGGAAAATGCGAGTCACACAGTGGACTTTGAGAAGGTTTACATGGAGGTGGATAGCATATTGGAGGAGGAGTTAAAGGATGGATCAGGCTGCACGGCAGTCACTGTGCATGTCACAGCTGACACCATTACCTGCGCTTCCGTTGGGGACTCTCGGGCTGTGCTTTGCCGCAACGGTGCCACCTTTGACCTTTCTCATGACCATAAGCCAGATAATGCACTGGAACGCGAGAGAATTGAGGCTGCGGGAGGCTCTGTTTCGGAGAACCGCGTGAATGGTCAACTTGCGATGAGCCGGGCGATGGGCGACTTTACGTACAAGTCCCAGAAAGATCGTGACCCGAAGGAACAACAAGTCATTGCCGTGCCGGACGTTGTCAGCACCCCGCGGGAGCCCGGTGACGCGTGGGTGGTGCTGGCCTGCGATGGCATTTTTGATGTCCTCAACAATGATATGCTGCTGGAGTGTGTGCTCGTCAAGAAACACCAGGGCAAAAGCAATGTGGAGATATGCGAGGATATTTGTCGTGAGTGTTTGGCGCCACCGGTGGAGGGCGGTGGCCGCAGCGCACGCGCTGAGGGCACAGACAACATGACCATCATGATTGTGGATCTCAAGTGAGACCGGATGATTGTGTGCGTGCGCGCTTCTGCGTGTGCGTGTTTTCCAATACATCAGAGTGGAGGAGGGAAAAAACAAATAAATTGTAATGTTTCAGAGGCATTGCTCCCCCAATGGCTCTCCACAGCGTGAATAGGCTGCGGGGGAGGGGGGAGACGTGGTGCCCAACACAGAGGGAGGGGAGGGGAGGGGAGTCGAAAACGAAATGCAGAGAGATAAAGAGCGAAGATGCAGAGAGGGAAACTAAAAGGGTTTTTTTTTTTTTTAAGGCACATGCCGGTGTATGTAGTTGGTTGGTTGGTTGGTTGGGTCTAACCGCGCTGCGCACCTTCACGAGTGGAGGAGGTGCATGGTACACACTTCCCCGTACATCATGTGTGTGCAGTCAAGAAGTGACAAACACACGCACAGCAAAGGAGGAAAAAAAAAAAGGAGGAACAGAACAGATGGCAGTAGCAATAACAACAGTGGGTGATGTGGGTGTAAAAGTGTACGGGGAGGGGCGCTACTTCACCTGTTGGATGTTTCTCTCTGTTGCTGCCGGCCCGCCCTGCATGAGTTTTCAAGGGACCACGTGAGGGTGTGTTGCATACGAGTACAAAATCTCTGAGCAACGGGAACTGTGTGCCGCGGGGGTGATCCCGTCATTCCCTCTCCCTTCGGAGCTTCCACACATGCACATTACTGTGCCCAAAAGAATAAATAAAGAAAAAGGAGGGGTATACGCGGAGTTTATGGAACTGAGTGCTCATATGCATAAAACCACAGCCGTATGTGTACTCTCCTCTCTTGCAGAGAAAACAAAAAAACGGAACTATACAAAAAAACGCGTGTTATAACCAAATAACGTTTACCCTTTTCTTTAGGAAAAAAAAACAGCGGCGCAGGCGCAACAAAGTGAACAGATATAAAACGAGTCGGGGGCGGGCAGCTTTCTCTTTTTTTTATTGGATTTGCACCACACACGTCATGCTTTCACGAGGCGAGGGAGGTTGTTTCAGGGCGGTTAATTGTGTCACGGCGTACACAGCCATCTATTCAGCGTGGTCCTCCGTCGCCATTGTGCCACTGCATTTCTACCATTACTACTACTCTCTACAACCTTTGGGTGTCTTGTCACGATTGACGTTTCTTGGATCTTTCTTCTTTCTTGATGAGTGCTTGTGCCGCTGCTTCCACCACTTTGTTTGCTCCTTTCATTTTGTTTTTATTGTAATTGTCTGTCTGTGTGTGTGTGTGTGTGACGGTTTGTCCTTGTGTTTCCCTTCGGGGCGCGTTCAGTAGATCTGGCTGCAGCGGAGGTCATGCAGGCAGCTGCGGCCTATGGCCTTGAGTTGCAGGCTCGCTCCATTGCGCCGCTTTACCACTCGTCAAATGGAAAGATTGACTCCCACCGGTTTCTTGTGGGAACGTCTAGTTTCGCAGGCGACAACAAAATTCATGTGCTTGAGTACCAAGACGAGACGCGGCTTCTTGAGTGTTCGACCGTTTGGTTTCACGAGGAGGAGGTATTTGGGCTGTGGAGCTCACCGTCCTTGACGGAGCCAAGCTTGCTTGCAGTGAGCTCGCCAGGCACGACGCGTGTCTTTCAGGTCCCAGAGACGCTCTCTAGGGAACTGCGGGACGTCACCGCCTTTGACGTGGTCGCCTCACAAGTCCTGTGGGACCTGGACGGGCTGCAGAACGAGGTCCGGCTGACGTCGCAGGACACGCTGCGGGTGTACGCGCTTGGCGAGGGGAATGCTGGGAAGGAGGTGAGCCGCTTCTGCATTGGCGGGGGCACGCAGATTAGCTGCGCCGCCCTGGACGCCCACCACTCCTCCGTCTGCATGGTAGCCTGTGAAAAACTTGGTCTTTACCTCATTGACACACGCAAGAAGAATCCCGAGTCTATCGCCAACACAGCCACCCTGCATGGAATGGGACTGACACGCTGCATAGACTTCAGTTCCTGTCAGATGAATCTTATTTTGACTTCGGGTGATGATGGATGCGTGCTCTGGCACGACCTTCGCATGAGTGGAACGACGTGCTGCGTGGAGCGGAGGCAACACCTACAGGCGCATAATCACGCTGTACCAAGAGCCCTACTGAACCCCTTCCGTGATGAACTACTCATCTCGTGCAGCTCTGATCACACGCTGAAGCTCTGGGACAGTTCCAAGCAGGGCGACGATCACGAGCCTGCGGTTTGCCTGAAGAAACTCGCCGACTTTGGTGACTCCGTCGTTGATGCGTGCTGGAGCAGTGGTGCCCCGTGGGTCTTTGCGGGGGTCTCGTACAACGGAAGGGTTCTTGTGGATGACGTTCCGAAGGAGAAAAAGATGGCAATTCTCCTGAACGATGGCTGAACAGAAACAAAAGAAAACAAAAACGGAAAGAATCACGAGATGAGTTGTTGTTGTTTTGTTCTCGCACCGCATCGTCTGCGGTTGTTGTTGTGTCGTGCCGCGGGACTTCGCACGGCGATGGAGATGATGGGTGTGCAAGGTCTATCGCGTGCGGCGGCTCCAAACTTTTCGTGGAACTCACGTCTTCCCTCTCGCTTTTCCTTTGCGTCTTTTTTTCTTCTCTCTCTCGTTGCTGTTGACTGCGTCCTGCGCGGTGCTCGCGGCAAAATTACAGCTTCCAGTCTATTCTGCAGTTGCGTGCAGCCGTCCGTGTCAGAAGGCCGGCCCCATGGCGAGGAAGAAAACAAAGAAGACTGCGCCGCTGCGGTGGCAGGAGTCTGAAGACCCCAAAGACACCATCACAGCTCTCAACGAAATGGAGGAGAATCTTCGACGCCTTGGGCTGCGCAATGAAGCGAGCTCCACTATGAGCGACGCCCTCCGGGCAGGGGAAACAGGGAGTTATGTGATGTCCATCCGAAAGGCGAAGGAGGAGGCCGTTAAGCTGCGCCACGAGAAGGAGTACCGGCAGTTTGCGGCGGAGGAGCAGAAGCGCAAGAATGAGATGATGCTCTCTTACGCGAACAGGGAAGAAGTCCTACAGGAGGTTATCAAGAAAGCGCAGGGGTTGCTTCGGCAGGAGATGAGCTCCACCCATGACGCCGTGTCGGGTCGCGCCCATAAGCTGACGGAGAAAGCCATACGGGCTGAGGAGCTGCAACGGCAGAGGGTCCTTCGTGACCGCCTGCACCAGTCCGCGAAGGGGTCGGATGGGGGGTCATTCCCTCTTCAGCAAACGGTGCCAGATGCGTGCGATAAAATGCGGGCCATGAAAAACCAAGCCAAAGCCGCTGCAACTCGTGAATATTGCCACAACATTGCATCCGGTCTTCTGGAGCTCGCCATGCAGGTGGCGGAAAATGTGTACGCCGTCCGTGCGGAAAATGGGGTCCCCGTGCTTCGCGTACCCCGGGAACTTCCCAAGTCGCAATGGCGTGCATGGGTAAATGAATTTGTCTTTGCAAAGACAGTGTCAAAGCCAATTAGTGACGTGCTCGCCGTAACACCGCTGCGTGAGCTCTGCGACCCCGACTACAAGAAAAGCACCGCTCAGAAGGAGGAGAGTGTTGGTTCACCCCACAGAGGGAACGAACCTAGCGGACGCACAGCTCTGGAACTGGCGCGGGACCTCACCCCCGATGAGGACGGTAACTCTGTTGCCACGGATGCGGTGGCGGAAAACATCCTTACGCGTTTGGTTGTGCTGCAACAAAGCTACGCAACCAACCTGGTCACACGAAGTGTGGACAGTGCCATCGAGCTGATCAAAAAACATGAGAAGCGGCGCCTTCGTGCCGAGTTGGACAGGCTACGACGACAGCATGAGCCACAGTGCCCGGAGGAGGTCGCGCCTGGCTGGACGCATCGGCTACCACCCGCCGGGTGTTTTTTGCACGGCGACGAGTTAAGTGGATTAAAGAAGTTTGTAGATGTGGCTTGTGGCGAAGCGGCGCACGAGCCACCGCAGGCCCTCCCGTCGCACAGGCGACGCGGCAGCATCACAATGGCAGCAGAGACTGCGCGGGCCATGATGGAATCTGAAGGCGGTAAGTGGGAAAACGAACAGTACCGCGTTCTCACCCCCGCAATGCTGATTCGCACACAACAGTTCTGGGGCCAAGGCGGGAGTGTTGGTGCTGGTGGCAACTTCGCGACGTGCAGCACAAAAACTCCGCGGGGGATGGGCTTTGCGAGCTCCAACGCCGCCCGCGCAAGGGAGGGGCGGTCACCCGAGGAACTAACGGAGTCCAACCCGCACATTGACGCACTCTGCGATGCGTTGGCGAAAGAACTTGCCGCAGTGTATCAGTACAACCTTCAGCTTGTGATACATAGCGGTGCTGCCGTGAATGAGCCCAAGTTCCCGTCAAAAGGCACACCACGCACCCTCTTCCTCGTGGGGTTTCCCGAGACCGAGGCCTTTCTGCGCACGCTGCACCAAAAGCTTCATGTCGCCGTGGAGATGGTGGAGCAGGAAATAAACAGAGCCCTCCGGGCGGAGGAGACGACAGAGGCGTTGGTGCATCAGCCGCCGGCAAAGGGGCGGGCCTCTCATAAGGGACCCCCAACCTCGCAGGATATTGCTGCTGGGTCACATAGGAAGGGCACGAGACTAATACAGCCTACTACGGGAAAGCGAGGCGCCGGTCGACTGCCTGCGACATGGAACGAGGATAATTTTGCTCCCATACGCTCTCGCGTGTATCCGCCGCTTTGTCTTCTTGGCATCTTTCTGCTGTACGACGTTCCCTCACGCCTTAGACGCATGCAACACATGGACGCCCGCTCAACCCCTTTTACGTCAGAACTGAGGGGTCAGAGAACGGTGGCAATTGAGGAGGAATCTGGCGAGTCCTACTCCGACTGGAGCATTGAGAAGCTGCACCAGGAACTCATTCAACAAGACAGAAAAATGCGGAAACTGTGGAAAACGTGGTGCAGCGGCATCAACAGAACATCCGTGTCTCTTGATACAGAGACGGTGCAGTCCCCGTATGCCGATAAGCAGAAGAGGCGTTTACGCCCTTCGATTCCGGGTAAGGCGAGTGAAGCCGTGTCCCCACACCCAACGCCAGTGACGCCCATTCTGTCGAATACGTTTCCGAAGGTTCTTTTCTTCTGGCGCAAGGAGGATCTCACGAGTTTGTCAGAGTCCAATACCGCCGCAGAAGCCATCACCGCCGCCATCCGTGTTGTCCTGAACCCCACCGTCCAGTCCGTCACGAGGAACGACCGTCTCGTGCGGGGGCAGCTGGCAGCTCCATTGAACTTGGGTGACTACCGTTTTCTTCCTGCTGCACTTGCGCAGTTGGTGGATCTCCAGCAGCGCTTCAAGACACGTTGGAAGAGGCAAACGGATCTCTACGCACAGAACCTGACGTCGACGTTGGCCCTGTCGTCAGCATCTCACTCACTACAGTCAACACGGACGGTGTCCCCGCCCTTGTCATCTGCTCCGCCTCCCATAGCATTACCAGCGAATACAGTTTGTATGTTGCCTGCAGAAAACACCATCTACAGCAGAGAGAGGGATGTGGAGGTGGAAAACATGGTTTTGCTTGAGACGGAGATGCACAGAACTTTTTGCAACTTTTTTCTGGATTTGTTGCAATTTATTACGCAAGATGCATTCCCCCCCTCACTGTGGGGGACGTTGCAACAACCCAGCAATACCACGGATCCAAACGCCAGCGCTGGGGTAGAATCATTCAGTCGCACGTTGCACTTTCTCTCCATCGATGCCAACTATGACACCTCGCGTGGGGCACTCCAAACACTACTGGTGGATGGAATGACAAAGCTGACCGCCGTATGTGCGTTACTGCTTCACTGCGTGTTGGGCTTGGCGTTGGAGTCCATAGGGGACGCCCTAGCACGTCTGTGCTTCTGGGCGCGGTGTCAAATGTGCAGCGCCTCCATTTCTTTTTCTGATGCGGAGAAGACTTCCGTCTTTTTTCCCCCGACCACCACGCCCACAGCCGCTAATAACCTTAATAACACTGTGAAGGAAGAGGTGGAAGGGGCAGTGCAAGGGGAAGAAGCGGGAGCTGGAGAGGAAGGGGGCGCGGCAACGCTCAAGTGCAGCATGTCGACCGATGCCGTAAGGAGGTCCTTCTTTAGCTCTGTCACCCGTCTCAGCTTTGAGAAGGTGCAGGAGATGGTGGGGCTTCTAGATGGTCAGACGACCTCCTTTAAGGAATTTCAACAGGAACTGTGGTCCTACGCGTCTCATGTGCAGCAGACAATGTTAAGATGTTTCCAGGCCTTTGTACAGAGTGCCGAGAAGGAGCTAAGTGATGGGAATGCAGAGAACCTGCTAGCAATGGCTTCACAGGTAACCGAAGTGCTTGTGGCACACTTGTTTGCTTTTTCACCTCTCGAGCAACGTTGTTCGTCTAGCACCGATGAAGCATCCGCGTCGGAGGTCTGTTCGTCAACCATAACTGTTTCTATCGGACGTGCGATGGCCTCCATTCGTGCACTCCGGCGCTGTTGTGCGGTCGCCAGTATTTGTGCAGCGCGGTGGATTGACGCCATGTACGTCACCGCACTCGCGGTGCCTCCGCATGGCTCGTTCCCGGCAGAGCGTCGTCCAAGGGATATTGCATCTATTTTTTGTTTGCCAAACGTTGGTTCTCGCAAAGGTTCCGCACCGCCGCCCTCGCTGGCACGTCAGTTGTTGGCTAGCTGCTCCCCGACGCTCGCTCTCTCCCCGGAGGAAGAGCGGGACTGCTGGTGGGAAACAGAGATGGAGGTGACGCTGCAGTTCTTTTCCATCTACCAGAAGCCAGTGCTTAGTAAGGTGGAGTTTCTGCATTGTGCAATGCTTGTGCAGCTCAGCTCACTTTGGAAGTTGCTGCCGCCCAAAGCGCACGCTATCGCCGAGCGGCTCGGCGTCTCTCTCCCGTTTACACCGCGGGCTGCCTACAAGAATGAGGAGGAAAAGTGGGCCAAAGTGGAGTTCACCCTGCCCTGGCTTGGAGGCGTCCAGTGCTACGGGGCCTTGGCAAAGCCGTTTGTGACGGAAGACGACGCTAGACGTATCTTCTTTGCCGCTGTGCAGGCCCAACAGCAACTTTTTTCAAAATGTGAAAGCTCCTACGATCCTCCTTTTTCCATCTCGCCAGTGTCTTCATCGGCGGGGGTGGAGATGCAGCGGTGGACTAAAAAGCCGCTGTTGCGTGTGCGCGAATACTTTATCAGTGTCATCCTGCGGCGACTCTGCCTGAGCGATGGCGATGGCGCAGACGCCACAACGAGCCCGAGCCACGCGGGTGGCTGGAGGGAACCCTCCACGATGCAGCTGCGTCGAATGATAAAATCGCTTCCGCGTGTGGTGCGGGAACAAGGCCCCGATAGTATGCCAGACCTCTGCCCTGTCTCCATGGAGGAGTGGCAGCGCATCATGTGGTGGCCGTTTTTCGAGGACGCTTCACTTGCGAAGGCGGCAACGTTTGTAAAACGGTATTTGTTGCGCCTTCTCACGGTGTGTTTTGGTTTTGTGAACGGGGAACTCTGCTCTCGGTGCACGCCATTTCTCCCTGATGTGCTTTACCTTGCGGCGGGCACGAGAGGCTGCCAGGCAACCCTGGAGCGGTACTTTCACGCCATTTTTGCCTTGAATACCGCGCGTGAAAGGAAGCTGTATCACTCCCAGGAGGCTGCTAACACGGAGGATACCTCCGACGTACGAGGAGGAGGCGATGCCGTGGTGTTGAGCGGGCCGTTGATGGCGTTTGACTTTGCCTTGACCGTGGAGGAGGCCATGTTTTTCTTTCAGCGCGCGGGTGAGACGCGGCTGCTTGGGCCGTGTGCGAGGGGGATGAGCTACAGGTCTTCAAACCACCTGTGCGAGCTGCGCAACCTCGCGCCGGAGGCGGAAGCAGACGAGGTTGTGGAGAGGGCGATGGGCAACAGCAACGGCGACAACGATGACGATGATGACGGCGAGCAGCTGCCCCTTGCGACGGAGCTGACGTTGTTGCTGGAGGTTGAGGGCGCCCCTGCACTCACACTGACACTTTTAGGCTCCTCCCACTGGGGAAACTACATCACACCGCGGCTGACGGCGGTTCCCCTCAAGCCGATTGAGACTATGGCAGCAGCCAAGAGCAAAAAGGAGCAGAGGACATAGCACGGGACGCTTTTCTTGCAGGTTGCTGCTGCAGCCCAGAAAGACTCTTATGCTCGTCTGAAAGAGGGCGGAAAGAAGGACGGCAACGCCACAGTCTCACTTCATCGTTTCCCAAGCTTGTGGGCGTTTGCATACATGTATATATATATATATATATATATATATACAC